GTGTGTTGACTTGTATAATTTCCTATTTTTTAGGATTTTCTAGTTTGGGATGGATCTCGTGTAATCTGGGAAAAATCTCTCTGTAATCTCCTATAATTATTCTTCCCTATCTAGTTAGGCTTAGGATTGTATATTATACCTCTTCCTGAGAAGAATAAACATATCATTCAAAGCATTCTCTGTAGGAATAATTCAAATAACATTGAACCCTAGAACACATCGTAGTTTTAATTACATAGATGAAGCTAACCTGCAGAAGACATTGTCGTGTTTCAAAGAGACTCTTCTACTCACTAGAGACCTTAATAGTCTTATGGTGATAGTCCCAAATACGAAGAACAACTTCTCTGTGAGTAGGGAATCCTTTATATAGAGTTAGTGCTCCAAAACTTCCATCTATCGTGGAGGATGGTTATTGCACCGTTGCCTCTAATTCCGCAGTGCATGTAGTGAAACTGACACGTGCTTCAAACCACAAGCACTATGGATGAACTTCCTCATTTGTATGATATGGTTTTTCCACGTATTTAAAAAACCCCAACTACTTATAATTTCAAATATGCTGACAATACTAGTTGAGTCCAAATAAAGGATTCCTACATTCTCCCACTTGGACTTAACTAGTATTTGGATTTGAATCAACATATTCAATTATAAGTCACCCTTAAGTGATCACAATGTTTTTTTTTTTTTATTACGCAATCCATATCTTATACACATCTACCAACAGTCCTATTTAAAAACAAACTCCAGAAAACAATGCAAGTAAAGAACTGCATGCACCCTGAAATCACGTTTTTAGCAGGTTCTAATGTATGATGTCAATGGCATATACATATATGTTCAATCCATATCATTTTATGCACTACAATTATCACACTCTTGCTTCGAACAACTGAACTTCAAATCCAGTTCCAGCTTCTTGTGCATAACAAACTTATACAATGTGTTCTTTGGAATAAACACCAATCACATGCATTTAGTGCTTCAAATAAGTCTGTACATGCAGTATAAATAATAATTAATACATAAGTTTGAAAGAAATTCGAAACATAATTTGTAGCAACACCTACATGTCAGTGATCTTGATTTATCCAGCAACATTCTTTTCACTCCCACATACCAGGTGAATCAAAGCTTTCATATAACCCCATGCTTGTGATGTGTTCTTTAAACACTCCCACTGCTAAAGGCTTTGTTAAAGGATCAGCAATCATCCTTTTGGTATCAATGTGCTCCACTAATATGTCACCTTTCTTCACATGCTCCTTTACAGATAGATATTTGACATCCATCAAGCGTGTTGCCTCAGATTTCTTATTATTCTTGGAGAAAAATACAGCTGCTTTTTTGTCACAATAGATGACCAAAGGTCTTGAAATTGAGTCCACCAATCTCATGAAAGTAATAAGATTTTTCAACCACAACTCTTTCTTCGTTGCTTCAAATAAAGCTATGAACTCAGCTTCCATAGTTGAGGTTGCCAAAGCCTTTTGTTTAACACTTTTCCAGGATACTGCTGCACCTCCAAGTGTGAATACATAACCACTCGTGGATTTCCTATCATCCAAACATCCTGCAAAATCAGAGTCTGTGTATACTACTAGTTCAAGGTTCTCCACACTCCTATAAACCAACATGTAGGATTGTTCTTTGTAAATATCTCAAGACCTTCTTAGTTGCAACCCAATGTTGTTCCCCTGGATTAGCTTGGTACCTCCCCAGTACACTAATTGCAAAGGCTAAATCAGGCCTTGTACAAACCTGTGCATACATAAGGCTTCCCAACAATGAAGCATATGGTTTTGTTGACATTCCATGTTTCTCTAGTTCATTCTTTTGGCATTGAGATTTATTGAGCCTGTCTCCTTTCCCCATTGGTACTTCTCCATTCGAACAATGTTGCATGTTGAACCATTGGAGCACCTTTTCAATATAAGACTTCTGTGAAAGCCCCAATAATTTTTTCGATCTGTCTCTCACAATTTCAATGCCCAGAACAAAAGAAGCATTCCCCATATCCTTCATTTCAAAGGTTTTAGATAACAACCTTTTTGTCTCCAACAACATATTCATGCAATTACTAGCTAGAAGTATATCATCCACGTATAAAATGAGAAAAACAAATTTTGAACCACATACCTTAACATATATGCAGTGGTCAATTTTGTTCTCAATGAAACCCATGGCTGTGACTTTTTGATCAAACTTCATAAACCACTGTCTTGATGCTTGCTTTAAACCGTATATGGATTTGTTTAACTTACAAACCATATTCTCATGTCCTTCTCTTACGAATCCCAAAGGTTGTTGCATATAAATCTCCTTTTCCAACTCTCCATTAAGGAAAGTTGTCTTGACATCCATTTGATGGAGCTTAAGATCGTAATGTGCAACCAATGACAAAATGATCCTCAAGCTGTCTTTCGTAGAAACTGGGTAAAAAGTTTCAGAATAATTGATCCCTTCAGTTTGTGTGAAACCTTTAGCTACAAGTCTCGCTGTATACCTCTCCACTTTACCATTCAAATCTCTTTTGGTCTTGAAGACCCATTTGCAGCCAATTGGCTTGACATTCAATGGTGCTTCCGCCAAGGTCGACACGTTATTAGTTTGCATGGACCTTAGTTTGTCAATCATTGCTTCTCTCCAATAGTTGGACTGTTGGGTCTCCATTGCTTCATAAAATGTCACTGGATCATCTTGCATGCCTACACACATTTCTATTTCCTGAAGATACACCAAGTAGTCACTTGAGATGGCTGACTTTCTTGTTCTTGCTGGTAATACCCTTCTCTCCATTGTGGCTTGTGGCTCAATTAATTCACTTGTGGGTTGTGATGAAGTTCCAATGTCAGGTTGCTCACTATTCTCCATTGTTACTTGTTGCTCAAGTAACCTACCAAAGAGTTGCGATGAGGTCCCTGCATGAAAATCAGATCCTACCCCACTCAATGAATAATCAAAGTTATCAATATTAAACTCAATTTGTTGCTGAGTTATATTGATCACTCCACCATCATTTTCAATTATGTGGGTCCCGTAAGTTCCATCATTATCAAACCATTCAATGTTATTATCAGGCAATACATTGCCAGTTTCTTCAAGGTTGAATCTTGATGCCTCAATGTCTGGTTCCAGTGAGCACTCCCCTTCTTCAATAAACTTGGCAACTCCAGTCTCAAAGATTCTCATAGGAAAATCAGTAAAATAAAATCTATACCCTTTGGTCTTTGCAGGGAATCCCATGAAGTGACAAGAAATTGTCCTCGAGTCTAATTTCTTTTCTCTTGGGTTGTAAATTTTTGCTTCTGCACAACACCCCCAGATATGCAAATGATTAAGACTTGGTTTACGCCCTATCCATACCTCATAAGGAGTCTTACTCACAGCCTTTGTTGGGACTCTATTCAAGATATAGTTTGCCATTTATAAAGCTTCTCCGCACAAGTATTGTGGAAGTTTTGTACAACTCATCATGCTCCTCACCATCTCTATTAGAGTCCTATTCCTTCTCTCAGCCACACCGTTTTGTTGTGGTGTACCTGGAGATGTATACTGCGCTTGAATTTCACACTGCTCCAGATAGACTGCCAGAGGACCCTTTGCCTGACTAATCTCAGTGTACCTGCCAGAATATTCCCCTGCTCTATCTAACCTTAAAACTTTTATGGACAAATCCAATTAATTCTCAACTTTAGTTTTAAAAATTTTAAAACATTCAAACACTGAAGTCTTATCTTTGATCAAATAAAGATATGTGAACCTTGAGTAATCATCAATAAAAGTCACAAAATATATATTTCCACAAAGAGTTTTAATTGGGAAGGGTCCACACACGTCTGTATGGATTACTTCCAAAAGCTTTTCACTCCTTATTGAACTCTTTTTCTTGACTTTAGTTAGTTTACCTTTGCAACAATCAATACAATCCTTTAAATCACCAAAGGCCAAAGTTGGCAATATGTTGTCCTTTATTAATCTTTCCATTTTGACTTTTGAAATATGGCCTAATCGTTTATGCCACAACATGGCAGATGATTCATTTGATTGCAATCTTTTACTCGGCAAAAAGGTCTCAACATTCAAGAAATTTGAATTGGAAAAAATGGAACACAACAACTGCCAAAGATCATTTACTAAGAAGCAAATTCCAACAACAACGTTTGGATTATTTTTCATAGAAATTCTGATGCTTTCATTATCACCAACGAAAGCATAATCAGATTTTACAAGCTTAGATGCAGAAATTAAATTCCTTCTTAATGAAGGTACATATAAAACATCAAACAACTCTAAAACATGACCACTTGACAGTTTCAACTTTAGACTCCCTATAGCCTCCACTGCCACTTTATTTCCATTGCCAACATAAACTTGAAAAACTTCATTTTTTGTTGTTGTAGTTCCTCTTGTGAACCCCTGCAAAGAATTGGTGATATGCACCGAACAACCAGTGTCAAACCACCAAGAATTTGGAGGGACTTCAACAAGATTAGTTTCAAAACAAACAAAAATTTCAACAAAAGAAATACCTTTCTTAATTTTCCAATTCTTGCATTTATCACAATCTTTCTTCATGTGCCCATATCTTTTGCAAAAATAAGATTTGACATTGTCCATATTTTCCATAGACATCTCAGTTCCCTTAGAGGAGAAGGCATTCATGGCAGTATCATAAGATTTGAATGGCTTAGGAATCTTACCATGTTGATACATACGTTTCTTACCCCTATCTACCTGCATGAAATTGACATGGTTGATCATTTGGTTCTTCTTAATTCTTGCTTCCTCTTGAGCACAGATCGAGATGAGATCATCTAGTGTCCATTTCTCCTTTTGAGTGTTGTAAGAGACCTTCAATTGCTCAAAACTTGATGGCAATGAATTTAGTGCCATACGAACGACAATAGCATCGTCCACAGGCCACCTCCAAGTTTTTGAGCTTTGAAGCAGTTTCCACCAGTTTAAGAATGTGCTCTCTCACACTCTTATTTTCATCAAACTTGAGTGTGGTGAGAGTGGTCATCAAATTCCCCATTTTCAGCCTTCTCTAATTCCCTGTACTTTGCCCCAATTGCCTCCAGGAAGTCTTTGGCTTTGTCATCAGCAACAATTCCTCCACGCACAGTCTCACTCATGGTCCTTTTCATGACTATCAATGACATCCTATTAGCTTTCTCCCATTTCTCATGTTTCAACCTCTGTTCAGCAGTTGAAACATCAGTGAGTGGTTCAGGCTCTTCCTCCCTCAGTGCCAAATCGACGTCCATCAGGCCCAGGACAATCTCGATGTCTTGTTTCCATTTCTTGAAATTTCCTCCACTTAAAGGCGCAATCGAAGAGAAATTCATGGCTGGATTATTCACTACAGAAGACAACTGATTATTGTCAGTAACTAACCAATGCATGTTTGTACCACACTTATGAGCAAGAGGTACAGACTGCCATTGAAGGATAATCTTTTCATGCGTATATCTCAGGCCTTTGGACAAGAGTTTATGCTGAACAAAGACACAATGCGTGATTTAAATAGCTTTCCTGCTCATACATATTTTCTTTTGAGAAAAATATGGACGTTGCATGAATCTCATCACCAGACAATAAAGTGTATAAATTTAAACAACTTAAATAATGCAAAAAGTGCATGATGATATGATATTAAAATTGCCGAACTCATCATACAGAAAATTAAACACAAACATATAGGTTCCAGGGCTTATTAGTTTGCTCTCATACCAAATGTAGGAATAATTCAAATATTTTCTAACATTGAACCCTAGAACACATCATAGTTTTAATTACATAGATGAAGCTAACCTGCAGAAGACATTGTCGTGTTTCAAAGAGACTCTTCTACTCACTAGAGATCTTAATATTCTTATGGTGATAGTCCCAAATACGAAGAACAACTTCTCTGTGAGTAGGGAATCCTTTATATAGAGTTAGTGCTCCCCAACTTCCATCTATCGTGGAGGATGGTTATTGCACCGTTGCCTCTAATTCCGCAGTGCATGTAGTGAAACTGACACGTGCTTCAAACCACAAGCACAATGGATGAACTTCCTCATTTGTATGATATGGTTTTTCCACTGTATTTAAAAAACCCCAACTAACTTATAATTTCAAATATGCTGACTCACTATTATCAATACTAGTTGAGTCCAAATAAAGGATTCCTACATTCTTTTCTTGATATCAGAGCCTAGAGAAAAGAGAAAAACAGTGCACTGTGCACAGAACCACAACCATCAGCCGCCCAGCCAACTGTGCAGCGTCGTCTGACTAATGAGTGACATCATCGTTGCTGACCCAAGAACCACCAACAGTGCAGCCAGTTGTGCATTGCACCCGTCTAACCAGCGAGCGACTCTGTCGTTGCTGACCCCAAGTCCATTACGCTGACCCATGCATCTATCCACCACGACCCGCTGCTACATCATGGAGCCATATCCAACTACCCCAGATCAAGCTTAACCCACAACCCACTGGACCCATACGTTGTCGTTGCAACCATCCCTCTGACCTAAAACCACGACAATCTCTACACTGTACCACAGTCTGAGGAGTTTCTAGACTTCTAGCAACCTACATCATACACCTCCTCGATTTAAAACCCTAACCATCTGCAATCTACACCAACATATGCCTGTTGCTGCTCCAGATTGCAGTGAGTTTGGTTGTCTATTCTTTTGTTTGTACAAAGAAGACATTGGACAAAGGGCAAAGAGACAAAAAGAGAAAGGAAAAATTGGCTTTTTTGCTTTAGGCCCACACTGATGTGAAATATTCTAACACTCAAAATAAAACCTTATGATTGTAGTATATGAAAGTAGGGATCGTTTTAGGCCGGGGATTAGAAGGGATGCTAATCTACTCAAATTAGACTCTAAAACACTAAACTAGACTCAAAAATAGAAAACTATACTTATATGACTCAAAACAAACTAAAAAGACTCAAAACAGCACAAAATAATCAAATAGACTCAAATTAGACACTAAAGGATGATTTGGACGAAAATTACTTTTAACTTGACACAAAACACTTAAAACAAGTTTGGACAAATTCTAACTAAAAGACACAACCAAGTAAAGGGGATTGGATTTTGGATGAAATTAAGGTAAAAACAAACAGATTATAAAGACTAAACAACTTGGACGAAATTAGGGAAAACTATGGGTGATAAGCTAGCTAGAGGGTCGTTCTCCACACATGACACACTTGCATACAAATTGATTTCCAGTTGCTTTTCCAATAAACCATGAACCTCAACACCCTAGATTAACCATGAACAGCACTAATTAACCCTCAGATTTTCCTTAAGTCATTGAATTGGATGGAATACGCATCGGCAACCAAATTATTCTTCAATAGTTCCCTACATGAACAGCATAATAGAGATACAATCAAAGATCATTAAGCTTTTTGAAAATCATAAGCATTGACAAAGCATTCGTAACTATGAACAGCATGATACTCCTGCCAGGAATTTACTTAACACGATCGTGAGTAGCAACCTCCACTACTTATAAATATAAGTTCATAACGATTAGGTGAAACTCCCTTATATTTTAGCATCAAATTCATGCATGCAAACTAAGCGGGCCCTCTTAATCAACACATAAGAATAAGTTCTTAATCAAACAGTTAAGTAAATTGTATTCACGATTTAAGAAATCACAACTGAAAGTAACCAATTCATATTGCAAATATAATCATGGTTTCAGAGTCTCCTCTAGCTAAAACAAGTTTAGCTCCTCATGTTCGCAAAACAAAGATAATTAAACTTAAACATTAAAAAGAAAGATAGAATACACCTAGAAACACTCCAGGTGGCTCCTCCTTCCTTCCTTGCTGCCAACAATGGGGATTTGTGTGAATTTAGGCTCTTGAGGTGTGGTGGATGGTGTGGTGTGAATTTGGGGTAGATGGTGGTGGTTTTTGAGTGTTGTGCCATCATGTATTTATAGGGTGAAGAGGAGCCACGAAATTGGGCTGAAAAGGAGAGGAATTAGGACTCCAAATCACAAAGAACAAGGACACCTTCAATCAGATTCCAAGGAGGACAATGAATGGTCCTTGTGGCAGATTCTAGAACTTCTAGGAGGGTTACATGTGGCATAAACTTAATGCACGAAAATAGGGCTTCTAGAACTTGATATTTAGGTGATTTAATGTGAAAAGGAGTCCTCTTTGAAGTTGGGATTAAGGTAGGAAAAGATTAAGATAGGATAAGATAAGATAAGGTTGGATAAGGTTTGGATAAGATAAGGAAATTTGGATAAGGTTCCTTATTTCTTGCTCTTTCCTTATCTTCTTTGCATTTTGACTTCTTTCTCCAAATTTTTAGCCTTTCCTAGCTTTCTTTTGACTTCAATTTCGTCCATCCACATTGCTCCATAGTTACGCTATCCAATCCATGCCCAAAACTGCTCCAAATAGCCTCAAAATGCACTTTCTTGCTCATTTTGCCATTAGGACCTAAAAACATACGAAAATAGCTTAAAAGACTAAAATAGATAGTAATTAACTAACTAAATGCAAGGAAACAACATAACTAAGTAGCATAAATATGCTCCTATCACACACAGGCTAGAAAAAGTGATTGATTTTAGTTAAATTATAATTTTTTAATTGGCTATCTATGGTTGATGGGCTATCTTACTTATTGGCTCGTGCTAATTGATACTGCTTGGGCTCCTTGGAAATTTGGGTTGTATTAATCACCTACTAATGTATTTGTTAAAGTTGCTTAGGAATGGCAATATAGACTTGTACCTCTCCAAATCGAACCGACCGACTCGGCCATGAGAATAAGACCACAATTACCTCGTTTGCTGATGCGAAGGTAGATTTTGAAAATATACTTGCAGAAGTGTTTGCCTCTACTAATACAAGTAACAATGGTAAGGCTTTAAAGGTTTCTGCCTTTGTTACAAATAATACGTGGATGATTGATTTTAGTGTTATTGAACATATGACTTGTGATTCTAGATAGGTACAAACCCTAAAACCATCCACCAAAACTGTTGTGAATGTCACCAACGGTAATCCTACCCCTATTATCGGGGAAGGTACTGTCTCCCTTTTAGATACCCTTAGTCTTGATACCATACTTGTTTTTCATTTTCTTGACTATAATTTATAATTAGTTGCTCAAATAACTGTCACCCTAAATTGTCTTGTCATTTTTTGGCCTCCTTTTTGTGTTTTTAAGGACATTCGGACTCGCAAGACGATTGGTTATGGTATTAGGAAGGGGAAGCTTTATTACTTGGAGCTGACATCGAATAGTTCCTGAATTCACTCAAGCTCCTGCAGTGGAAGGAAAACAAGGGGATAGAAATAAAGCTTCAAAGATTTGGTTGTGGAATTGTCGACTTGGACATGCTTCATTCGGCTATCTGCGAAGGTTGTTTCCTAGCCTATTTGTTAAGCCTAATATTTCTAACTTTAAATGTGGTTTTTGTGAAATGGCTAAAAGTCATCATACTTCATTTCCGCCTAGTTTGAATAAAAGTTCAATCCCATTTATGATAATTCATTCTGATGTTTGGGGACCATCTAAAACTACTACACTTGGTAGTGCTCATTGGTTTGTTACTTTTATTAATGACTGCACAGTATGACTTGGGTTTGTTTGATGAAGTCCAAAAGTGAAGTTACTTCTTTGTTTCAGCAATTTTACAAAATGGTACAAGTACAATATAAGTCACAAATACAGGTTTTCAGGAATGACAATGGCGGCGAATATGTAAACTCTGAACTTCATGTCTTTCTTGATCATCATGGTATTGTTCATCAGACTACATGTCCATATACTCCACAACAAAATGGTGTTGCAAAACGCAAGAATTGTTAGCTTCTAGAGGTTGTTTGTGCATCTTTGCTCAAGGCAGGTCTCCCATTATCTTTTTGGGAGATGCTCTCACCTCAGCTGCATATCTCATGAATCGTGTTCTATCCTGATTAGTCGACTTTCAGATGCCGTTCCAGACTCTCTCTCTTCATATGTTGATGCTCCTACAGTTCACCTCACTTGTTTGGTTGTGTGGCCTTCATTCATCTTCATAAACAGCAGAAGATTAAGCTTGAGCCTTGGGCCTTACGATGCGTGTTTATAGGGGTATGCCTCAAATGAAAAAGGGTATTGTTGTTATCACCCTCTCACAAAAAAATTGTTTGTCACTATGGATGTTGCGTTTCATGAGAATGATATGTAATTTGCAATCCTAAGTCTTCACTTCAGGGGGACAATTAGACAGAAGTTCAAACTCTTGATTATACTATTCCATATATAGATAATGTGAATGATTTGGATTTAAGTGGTGATGTCTTGGAAATAAGTGGTGATCATTTACACGAAAACAATGATGTGAATGAATTGGAACTATGTAGTAATGTCTCGGA